CTGATCAAAAGGTATACTTCTGATGGTCATAAGGACATATGAGAGAAATCCAACCAAACGAACGATCTGAGTCGTGTTCTTGTTCTTGCATGTCCTTCTATGTCTGCAAGTAAATATATATAGCCAAAGGTACATGAATACTCACATTCTTGGTCTCATAACTATAAGGAACAGCAAAAAATAAAAGAAAAAAAAAGACTAGAAGACTAAGTTTTGATCTTCTACTGCCTGATGAGTCCTACCATGCCAAAAACCGGATTGAGTTTGATCTTGAAATGCAGCCTGACCTCTTGGCTCTTGCACCCCTCTTACATGATCCATCCACCTCTAACCGGCTCCTTCCCTACATTGCCTCTGCCTTTGACAGGATCCAATCGATCCAGATTTGATAGTTTCTTGACCTCTAGTTAGGGATGAAAACGGCTCGGAAACGGACGGAACTTCTACCGTTGTTGTTTTCATATTTTTTTTCAGAATCGAAATCAGAAACCCCGTATACGAAAACAAAATTGAATAACACGAAAATGAAGCAAATACAATAAAGGATATTTATTGAAATATAAAAAACCCTCAAACTGAACTTCTCAAATCAACAAATTGATGTAGCTCATTATTTTTTCTAACATATAAATCGATATTTCTATTTTTTATCAATTCTAATAATAATACAACTAGTTGTACACTTCACTTTCTAGGAGAACAAGTACTATATTCATCTATAATTGTAATTAATATAGTATGGCCTCATAAAAAACCGTAATTAGGCAAAATAAAAATAGATCAAAAGCAGAAAATATTTTTGTTCGATTAACCACCTCAATACTCAGTAGAAATATGAACATCGAGAGTAGAGAAGGTTGAAACTATAGTTGTATATGAAAAGTTTCTGTTTCCAACCAATTCCGGTTTCCGGCGTATAGTAGCCTTACCATATTTGCTTCCCTTTCCGAGAAATTTTTTTTCTGAATTCGTTTTCATTTCTGAAAAATTCCGATCGACACTTTACGTTTCTTCAAACACATTCGGAAACTGGAAACTTTTCGAACTGTTTTCATCCCTACCCCTAGTACCTTCACTCGCCGATGCCATGCAATGAAAGCAGGGGCGAAGCTAGCATCAAAACAAGGGGAGTGCACTACCATTGAGAATCTAGAAAATTTCAGTACAACACTGTACATTCTAGTGTTTTTAAGTGAGAAATTAGGAATTTGGAGAGGTTCATGTGCACCCCCCAACATAATATAGCTTCACCACTGAATGAGAGCATGAAAGAATAAGCCCTTCTGACGCAACTTGCCATCATATGAACGGATACGGGCAAAAGCAGTTGCTCATACGGTCAAACCATTCGCCCACCATATATCTTGTACGGTGAAGTTCAAATGACCTACAAGGACGTTTATTTGTGTTAAGTTTCTCTTTAACTTAAGAAAACTTCAGAAGATATGTTAGAGGTATCAAAATTATAACTTCAGAGGTATATTTTTTAGAATAGAAAAGGAGATTATTTCCTGTATATCCAGGTGTCTATTTTACTCTTATATGAACATATGCATTTTGCTTATCCCGACCAAGATGTCATGCCAAATGTCCAAAATGCATGATAGGCTCGTCATGGACAGATACTTCTATTTCAATAAGCTAGTCTGATACTCTGATGTGGGAGGAGAGGGATTGTGGGATCATTAAGAAAGTGGGTAGTGGCTACAGGCATGTCGAGCTAGTGGGATGTGTCCTTGCAAGTTGAAAAGGTAATTAATTGAGCTCCCATTAGTTCAGTAAATTTTGAATTTATCTTTGCCTTGACCCCTTGAAGGCCGTGGTCGAGCTCGACCTTGTGATGTTTATTGTCTGCACGTTGCAGCATTACTGCCCAAATGGACTGGCCGTGTTGGTTCTTTACCCAAGTCGTTGACCCAATTCCTTCTACAATTGGTAAGATAATATCCATTATCACTCAAATTAAAGCTGTCACTCCTAATGATATAAGCCATGAAAATATGAATGGTAATTTATCATTCTTAATAAGGTATGGCCGAAGGTATCATATTTTTTTTATGTAAAACTTGGTGTCTTACTAGGTCCTTCGAGTTGTATTTACGGTACTTTCTCAAGAACCATAACATTTCTTAAGATAAAAGTAAAACATCGAGCTAGAAGCTAGGCTATAGCCTGTAGCCCTGTAGAAACATACAAATCATTCCACTCGACGAAAAGCTAAAGTGCAAATTATTCACACAATCATGTTGGGCTTTTGGCGTCTGTTCGCTCTACAGCAATAAGTTGTCTTTCTGAACCCACACTCTGACGGCCATGCTGTTATGAACATGTATTGTATTTTGTTTGTTGAGAAAATTCCTTCTATACCCCTGAAAGTTTTAGCCAATCCCTTCTGCACCCCAGAGTTTTGTCCACTCTCTTATATACCCCTGAATTTTGGTTTTGATCCCTTTCATACCCATTTCGTTAGTTGACCGTTAGTTGAATGTTTAATTCCTATGAAAATGACCATTTTGCCCTTACACATGAAGGAAATCTGGAAATTTTAGACGAGCTGTATTGTTGGAAGTGCATAATTTTGTTATATAAGACTATTATATTCATGATTTTATTGTACAAGGTATTATTCATGGCTAAGTTATTTTTACATAATGACATAAAAACTAATATTTATTTACTTATTAAGAGAGTATATGTAGCAAATTTTTATGGTAGTTCAACATTTTTTTCCTGTTGTATATATATTATATAGGAATGCTTTCCAAAACTATGACTATTATTTTAAAAAAAATGCTACACATACTTTGTTTAATATATATTAAAATTTCTATGTACAACAATCTTATAAATATTATAATCACACAACAAATTTCTATACTACGAACAATATAGTTTACAAATTTCTACATATTCCTCATGTATTGAAGGGTAAAATTGACTTTTCTATACCTATTAAACGGTCAATTGACGGTAAGGGTATGGAAGGAATCCAAATCAAAATTCAGAGGTATACAAGGGAGTGAAGAAAATTCAGGGGCATAGAAGGAATCGGCTAAAATTTCAGGGGTATGGAAGTAATTTTCTCTCGTTTCTTTGGAATGAGCGTGTCCAATGTCCATGTATAGCATGTTGTTCTCTGTTAGCTTGATCCTGCTCCTGCATGTGCAGTTATGTATACACATTTTTCCTCTGAAAGCAGTTTTATCCAGCTTCTCAAAACCAGTCAGACGCAGTTTGGTTTTCCCAATCCCCATATTCAGACAGCTTGATCCATCATGCCGTGGTACCTCAAACCCATTAGTCCCTGCTTTTGTTACTCGCCGTTGCAACGAAGGGTTGCAGTATTAGAGCAAGGTTAATAGAGAAAGCTTATCGTCGGCACCAAAGAAGTCCAGCTCTGCTTTATAGCTAACCATATACATGTAGTGCGTATAGTAGTAATATCCTCATATTATCTCTAAAAGCTATTTTATCTTTTACCGGACCCACAATTCTAATTTGATAGGCTCATACATAGAAATTATCTCTTGGCAGGCACGTGTTAACTAGCCGTTTGCTTTCTTCACCTAGGCGCTTGTGCAATCGCTCGCTTGCCTCTCTCTCATCTCATCTCCCTCATCCACGTAGGACTTATTTGACGTGGCTCTGGACTTATTATACCTGCTCTTAGTGTATATATTACAGTGGCTGTGAGATGTGAGTACTGAGTAGGTTTTGGTCGTTCATCGATCCGTATAGCAGCATGCACCGGCAGGTCGTAAAGCTCGCATCTGTTGGCTTCGTTGGCTGTCTACCGTACCCGGCGCAAGACGTGCACGCTTATGGGGTCAGTAACAGTAGCAAGCGCGTGTTTTGTGCCACACTCAATTTGGACACCCCCCCGGCCGGACCCAAGTTCAGAGCTGTCACTTTGGCCCATAGCCTGCTGCAGTACGTGAACCAGGCCAGTTATGTTGGTGAGAGTATCATCATTATGATGGCACAATTATCAGTTCATGATCAGGCATTCAAAAACCATATATAGAAAAGTAAGAAGATGGCAGGCAGTATGTCATCTGTCGGCAGGGATCGATCGATCGACGGAGTAATTAGGATCTGCAGGAAACGTCCGTGTCCTTGCTCTCTTTTTGTCGATCGCATCGCATCGGTATCATTGCATTCATGCGCGCGATGAAATTTGGCAGTGTTACATGAACATGACCCGATCGATCGAACGAGACGAAACGCGCCGTTGCATTCATCATCATCTTCGCGATGATGGCCTTTGCCGTGTTGCTACGCGACGTTCAACGTACGTACGCAGGCTGCTTAATTGGCTGGATGCTGCCAATGGTGGTGGCGACTCTCGCGACATAAACCCGTATAGTCGTCCTGTGACCTGTAGAGACGAGAACGCGCCACCAACGGCGCCCCAGTTGGTGGGCGGTTAAGTAGCTAAATTGTGTGTTCGCTACTGGAGGCCCGCTACTGGAGGCCGGGAACCCGTGCGTGCGAAAAATAGAGCGGTTCATTAGCACATAATTAATTAAGTATGAGCTATTTTTAAAAAAAATAGATCAATATGATTTTTTTAAGCAACTTTCATATAGAAATTTTTTACATAAAAACGTACCATTTAGTATTTTTTTTAAAACGTGCGTGTGGAAGAGGAGAAAGTTAGGAACCGGCTGTTCCGAACACACCAATCATTCTAGCTTGCTGGTGAAGTGAGGAGAGAGGGCCGGTGAGCCACCGGCTCGTCCGTACCGGCCGTGGCCGCCATCGTCACGTACGGGAGAGAGCAATGCAAAAGTTGGTTCGTTCGTTCGTTCGCCACCTAACTCGCCTGCGACTGCGAGATTCTCACTGCGACGCGCGCGGTAAAAGAAATGGTGGTACGGGCCAAGGCAGATCGCGAGATGCGGTGCAGAGTTTGCCGGTGGAGGTGGTAAGATTCAGCGCCGCAGTTATTACACGGCCACGTTGGCTGGCGTCGCGGGCCTCGCCTCGGGATGCCCGTACGCCTGGGCTGTGGCCACTGGCCACCACCACCACCTACACCGCGATTCATTTCGGGGGTATTAAACGCCCACCACCGCAGCACGCCATGCCACGCCGTGTCGCGGGGGCACTGCTGCTTACACCCGCCATTTTTAATACCACGCCGCGCCGCTCGGGGTGGAGCTAAAGCTAGTCGCTGACTGACGCTGCCCGCCGTGTGGCCGTGCATTGCTGTCCCTGAGCTTGCTGCTGCTGGTGGTGGTGACGATTCTGCTCGGTAGAGGAGATGCGAGTTGGGGGTGAGCTCCACAGCGGCGGCGGAGGAGGAGAGGGGGTGTTGGTGGGGAGGGGATGGAGGAAGGAGGAGGCGGAGGGAGGCGGCGGCGGCGGCGGCGGCGGCGGCGGGTGCTCGGCGAGCTCGACGAGCCGGGGATCGTCTCTCTGCGACTCGGTTGGTGATCCCTGCAAGCTGCAACCCCGCATTGCCGATTTTGTTGGTGTTGCATTCTCGAATACTAGCTCGTTAATTTTGTTGCAAATGATTGCGAATGCGATACTCTCTCTAAAGCGTCCTTGCGATTGCATTTCCTAATCCTCTCACATCTCGTGGTAGAAATGAGGAATTTTTTGGGCATGGAGACTACAAAAAGATGTGATTTCTGTGAAAGGTCTGGGGGGGGGGGGGAATTTTAGGTGATTAGACTGACGTTTGTTTGATGATGTCCAATGCAAGAGAGAAGAGACAGGAGACAACAAATCAGATACTGTGGTGTAGGTGGACAACTGGGGAAACCAATGGAGACAAACAAAAAAGAAAAAGAAAAAGTGGTCTTGGCAAATATTGGACGCTTGCAAGGAAAGGGGATTGTGCTTTTCGATAGAAAAATATGTTTTTTTTCCCTTTCGGGGTTCTTTTTCTCAGCTCACTAGTTCATTGCTCATACTACAGTAGGTTCCTGTTGTTTTTATGATTTTAATCCCAAGACAGTTTTGGGACAGGTTTTCTAAGACAATTATTTGGTGCAGCCTTTGCCCAGCTTTGTGCGCCATCGTGGTGGACCGGGGTCAGATCTAGAGCTCGATGGGTTGCCCACTTCCTCCTCCAATGGTGAGTGCAAATGTGGCGGCGAACAGCACATTGCTTGTACTCTTACTGTTGTTTCTTGTGAATGCTCTCGCTGTGCACAGCTTTACAGCCCTTAAAAGTTGGGGGGGTTTTGTGCTTTTCAGCTTCCTCAGGGTCACACGAGGAGGATCACGGGCCATTGCAAGGGGTGAAGGGAGAGGGGTGGATGCAAGTGCAGGGACCGATCAAGAACTCAGCTGCCCGTTCTACCGGAGGTAACATTTTTCATGAACTTGGTGATTGGTCTAGGTAGGATTTTCATGAGTGTTAACCTGTTATGCCTGGATGGTGTTTGATAGAATGCCAAGACCAGCGGTACCGGTTGGGGTCTGTTCTTTTCCATGGTAAGAATGAACGGAAGCAGCGCCCGGCTTCAGTTGATTTTGGCTGCCCCAGTGTTGACAGATCCTCCACGCATTCTCCGGGTTTCTTGGTCAATGGTACCGGGGCGATGAACAAGGGATTGAGTGTATCATCGCAAAATAAACCAGGTGCGCCGACTAGCCCAGGAACACCAAGCTACAATCGTCAGGGTGCAACAGTTGTTGGGTATCAGCAGGGTTGGAGCTCTGAAAGAGTTGCCCTGTCTTCAAACGGCCAGAGAAGGCATTCAGGCAACAGCATGGTGTTACCACATAATACTGGGAGAACATTGCCCTCAAAATGGGAGGACGCAGAGAGGTGGATCTTCAGTCCGAATCCCAGCAATGCACTTGGAAGGACCTCAATCCCGCAGTCGCGGCGACCTAAGGCCAAAAGTGGACCTCTTGGACCTCCTGGCAGATTTAGTGAACCATACTCATCAGTTTCGTCATCGTCATATTTGCTTGACACCGGGAGAGTAGGAAACCTCACGGCAAACTCACCTTTCCTGGCTGGGGTCTTGCTGCCTGAGCATGTTTGTGTGTCCAGTAGCCATGCTGGAAGGGATCTAAGTGGTGCATCTGGTGAGGATAAAAGCAATGGCATGGGAGGCAGGTCTGGTGAAGCAAATGGTGCACATCCTGCCGTGTGGTCTACCAGAGTTTGCCAACGAATGGATAGCGCAGTTCAGTCGTCTCCGTCATTGCCTACTTCCCAAGAATCAGTTCAAGGTATTGAGCACCGTATTTACCCGTACTTCTTGTGCTTAGTCTTGGAGTACTAGGGCCAAATGGAATAGTAGAGAACATTGTTTCTTGATTGTGATCTTTGTTTGCTAAAACAAAGTTAATATAAAAGAGTTCCAGTTAACTATACAAAGTATTCTCGGGAAAAAAAAATTATGCAAAGTATTTTGTCAATAAGCATGTTGGTACACAACATGATTATAATTATTAATTAGAATACACTCATAGATAGATCTTTCACCATATGCAAATAACGCTCAAAATTTGGAAGCTAGAAGCTAGTAATTATTATTCAGAAACTTTTTTCATTTTGCAGCTTGCACAGATGAACAGATCGAAATCACAACAGACTTGACCACCAGCAGTAAACCTGAAATTTCGAGAAAAGATGTGGCAACACAGACTAGCCCTGAGCTTAGCAGGTCATCTTCTCCTAGCGGGAGGCCTTCATTTTCCCGCTCACTATCAGTACAGCAAGTCAAAGAGTTGGAGAGCTGTTTCTCTAAGCTTGAGATAAGGGATGTGCAGATGGATGATCGGGTTACTCTGACCAGGTGGTCCAAGAAACATGTCACACGAGGCTCTGAGAAGAACTCGACAAACATTATAGAGTGGAAGAAAAAGACAGTGGAATCTAAATCTTCTGCCTGGGAAGTAACAGAAACTGCAAAGTGTATATCAAAGTAAGGGATTGCTATTTCTATTAATCCTTTCAGATGGAAGGTTTTGTTTTTTTTTTGCCTTACCTTATTTCAGGCATACAATTGTTTCTGCATACCTGTACTTCATAGAACACTACGGGAACTAATAAATGACTGAATTTGCCTTAGAAGACTTTAATAAGATGGAGATTAAAGAAAGAAGGGCGTATAGGGACAATGCACTTACTTGTTCTACAGTGTCTATCTTAGTCATTGTCGATAACTCAATGATGATTTTAGGTTTTCTTATTACATCTAAGATCATCCCATTTTGAAGTGTGAGATGGAAGTATACTTGTTGCATTGGTTCAACTACCATGCTATATTCATCATCTCTATTTGAGAACTTTATAGTATTTTGGAAGTTTGGAATTAAATCCAGCCTTATCTAGGTCAAACATCCAATTCAAGTTTCAGAAGATAATAAAGCTGCAATAATTTGCTATGTTTTATCAAAATTCTGATGGATGTATGCATATGCATTATTTCTTTGAAGGATTGAGGGAGAGGAAGCAAAGATGACTGCATGGGAGAATCTGCAAAAGGCAAAAGCAGAGGCAGCAATACAAAAGCTTGTGGTGTGTTGTTTCTTCCCCGTCTCTTTTAATTAATTTTCTTCTCCTGCATATATCTAACTTTTTCCCCCTAATGTATTGCTAATTAGTGAATCTACATTTGCTATTTACAGATGCTTTCTTATGTGCTGCTTGGAATTTTGACATCTATTCAATTCACACATTTTATGATTTTTCAGATGAAACTTGAAAAGAAAAGATCATACTCACTGGAGAGGATTTTCAATACCCTCAGGTCAGCTCATAGGAAAACACATGTGATACGCAGCACAACTACCACAAATCTTGATCAGCACATCTCCAGGACTGTGAAAAGGCCATCACACCTTAGCAAGAATGGCCAAATGAGTTCGCTGAGTGGGTGCTTCACTTGCCATGCCTTCTAGTATGGTATTATACAGTCAAGTAAGACGAGTTCAATTTTGCCAATACTAACAAAAAAGCCTGATAGATTATGTAGTACATTTTATATACTGCTGTTCCGTTTCTAATGGCTGATCAAGGTCCTTTTCTTTGATCCATTATGTGCATAACTTTTTTTTAAAAGAAAGTTTTATGTGCTTAACTATCATTGGGGATTTTTTTTTCAGGCGGCACTGTCACTTTCAAGATGGAATTGGAGGGGGGAACCAAAAGGCTTGCTAGTATAGAATACAGATAAGACCTAGCAGGGGAAGCCGAGGCTCTCAATGATATCCAATGGTCTGTCATTACAAGATTTATTCTAGAATTTCCCTTTTTATTCTGCTCAGGAACAAAAGGAAGTTGACGCAGAGGGAAGGAGTTGTTACTACACACCTTGTGAAGTATTTGTAATAATAAAAATCTCTGCCTATACTCTTCAGGGCGGAGTGGTATCATAAAAACTACAATATGTCAATTCCAACCATTCCTCTTTTATACAGCAAAATTTCATCCACTATTAGACTCTAGAGAGCAAAGATTCTTCTTGTAACTATGAGAACACGCTGTCTATTGTGCTTCAAGCCTTGAACCGGAATAGTTAGAAGAGTACCATGACTTTTTTTTTTAATTAGCTCTGTACATGACGTATAATCACCCCACCCGGGATACTGGCATTTTTCTACAATCATTTGGTGTTTACATATCCTCAACTATACCTGTTTGATGGTGGTGATTCGGACTTTAGATACCACATTTCCATGTGAAATTCTTATCTTGAAAACACTTTCAAATTCTTTTCAGTTAACGGATCATGGATTATTGCTGGCTTTTAGACAAAACTCCCTCCATTTCAGGTTATAAGACGTTTTGACTTTGGTAAATGTCAAACTACTTCAAGTTTAACTAATTTTATAGACAGACAAATATAGTAATATTATAATACCAAATTAGTTTTATTAAATCAATAATTGAATATATTTTCATAATAAATTTGTCTTGGGTTGAAAATATTATTATTTTTTTCTACACACTTAGTCAAACTTGAAGCAATTTGATTTTGACCAAAGTCAAAACGTCTTATAACCTGAAACGGAGGGAATATATGATTTTTACAATTGCTTTTTTCATCAGCATTTCTTTAAAAAAAATAACTTTATAACTTTCTAATATTGAATTCTTTCATTTACGCCCTTAAATAATTGTTACAAGCTCAGTTTCATCCGTCATACATAAAGAATAGCGCCAAGAGATTCACTTCGAGGACCTTACAATATTGTATATTTTAATTGAAAAATTTTGCTACTCGATATTAGAAAATTATGTCTTTGCTGAAATAGACAGTAAGAATTTGAGCCACTTATGGAGGATAGATCTATCCCTGTCCCCCGATTCAGCCGAAGACATAGGTTTGTAGGAATGGCTATAGGTGTATATGTGTTGGTGTACTATGTTTGTGCACTGTTTCTATGTAACTAGAGTTACCCTTGATCTTGGAGGACCCGGCCAAATCCAACTTACTTCTTTAGTCTCAAAATATAGCAACTAAGTTGTTACTCCCTCCATTTCAAAATGTTTAACACCGTTGACTTTTTAATACGTGTTTGACCATTCGTCTTATTCAAAAAATTAAAGTAATTATTTATTATTTTCATATCATTTGATTCCTCGTTAAATATACTTTCATGTACACATATAGTTTACATATTTCATAATTTTTTTTAATAAGACGAACGGTCAAACATGTGCTAAAAAGTTAACGGTGTCAAACATTTTGAAACGGAGGGAGTATATTTTTAAGAATGAAAGGAGTATACAGTTGTAGCCGTTACCATTGGTTCTGAAGTGAACGGCACAAATTAACCTAGGACACTGTAGCAAAAAGGGCACGGCACAAATTAACCTAGGACACTGTAGCAAAAGGGCACAAATTAACACAGAACAATGTAGCACAAAAATACTGTTCACGGTACTGCAATTTAAGTATTATAGCTGTAGATCTGAACCGTGGATCATCAAAATGGAGTTGTGGACAGCTTAAAATACATGTTATCCTAGGTGCAGTCATCGTTATGACTGCACCCGATCTCAACTCGGTTTTGTTGTGAATAATCTGTTGCTGGTCCCGACCAAATGGCTAGCCATTCAATTCGCACGACTACAATGCCGGTGGCGTTCAATGTAATTAAGCAAAGAAACAAGAAACGTTCTGATAAAGCAAATTTGGTCAACTGAATATCTTCGATCGTCTCAGAAACAAAAGCTATGGCTAACACAAAACTTGAGGATTTAAAATGAGAAATATCGCAACTTACTACAACATGGAGCACAATAAGTATATTTGATAATATCACATGTTACAACATTGAGTACATTATGGGTTGGTGGTGTTGTAGGCGGCGTCAGCAGACGATGTGTCCATGTCATTCAAGCCAAGCTCCTCATTCTGCTCCCAGCTCCTCACATACTCCTCAACTGGAAATTTTACAGAGAACAATGCGTGGAGCACATCAGAATTGCAGCAATAATGCACATTCTTCCTGCAGGCGTTGTTACTACTGGACTAATATCTTCCATAGTTCACATCAAAGACTTTACTAAGGAAAGACTCGAACCTCAAAGTTTGGTTAAATATTTAGATTCAAGGAATTCCCTCCCATTTTTAAAGACAATATAGTATATGATCCAATTGATTGATTAAGGTAACTTACTGGTTAGCTGGTTGTCATCTTCTAAAGAATCGGTAGCTGGAGCAACAAATGAAGCTGCCAATCCATCATCGATAATTAAAGTCCAAGGCTCTTGTAAACTTAGAAGCTGAAAACATACATATGAAATAGTATTAAAATAGCTGTCCAAAACATACATAAAAATTAAAAATAAATAAGCTGCAATCAAATCCTCGTAAAAGAAAACACCCAGAATAGCGATGAGGACTTTAGCAGCAACACCCACTCAGGTTTAACATAACAAATAAGAGAAGGAAGAAACATGCAGAGGTGTAGGCCTGATGATATATTTGAGCATTATCAAGGAAACAAATACTGCCTATTTTAGCAGCTTGACTTTGCTCAAGAAATGGGAGATTCAGAAAGAAAAACTCCATTAAACTACTGAAAATTCTGAAAGAAAACAAAATCATGCTAGAACAAATAAAACCATGTAAAGAAATCAAATTACACACCTTGGATAATCTATCGTTGAAATCCTCCCATTTCTTCTTTTTCCATTCCAGTGTGCTATCACCCAAATGGAATCCATGCACTCTCTGCAGAGCTGCAACCTCAATATAAAGATATCTCTTTTAGTTCACAAACTGTATTGAATAAAGAACACTCCAGAGATATGATTGAATAAATAAGCTATCTTCGAACTTTATTTAAAGAACGAATACATGTGCAATGGGTGCTTGCAGCTTCTCCGTCCGACTATGAAGAACTGTCGTTTTGGACATACATCTAGCAACACTTTCTAACTATCAATATATTTCTAATATTTAGATTGTAAATATGAAGACCATAATGTATATAACTACTCGTACATATATATTTATCTCAAAGCACAAGAACTGGGTTTTACAAATATATTCGGATATTCCAATAGAGATTAATGGTCAACAGTACATTTTGAGGATGGTATTGATGCCCAAAACGACGTGTTTTGTGACCTGGAGGGAGCACTAATGTTAGGGGGGAAGGCTTGTCAGCATGCCATGTATTTATTACTTGAACTAAAATGGCTCCTTATAGTCCAATTTTTGTGACATATATAAATGGAAAAGTAGTAAATAAGTGAGATGACTAGGTGAGGCACCTACCCTCGCATATTTTCACAATTAAACCTTCAACTGTTGTAACAATACCACCCAATGTTCCACTTGCTAGCTCCAACTCGAGTTCAGGTACTTTTACGCCAGCTGAATCTGACTGGAAAACAAAAAGGAAAAAAGAACTCCAAATTAACAAAATCGTGTATCAAACTTGATCCAAACACACCAAAATTGCAACTGAAGAGTGCATCTAACAATGCAGTCCTACGTTGGAGAGCATTTGTTTCGTTCTTCTAATACAAAAGAAAATTAAATTTATAGGCTTGTCTAGTTCTTAATTGCAAGGACACCCAATCTTGTATAATGGAAAAAGGGGAACATAAATATTTATATCATTTTGCCCATTGAAAAGAGGGATTCTGACTTACAAAGCCAGATTTATGAGTCCAAAATGAAGTACCAAAAATACTTCCCACCCTAGATAAGTCAGAAATCTCATGCACAAGCAGGCACACTAAAAAAGTTGCATGCAATGCAAAGTTGCAAACAACAACACCGCCAAGAAAACAAATTTCTGACCTTTATGACATCACGTGTAAGATCTTTTCCGTTCTGCACACGTAGTGTAATTTTCTTTCCTTTGGCTGGGATTTCACCACCAGGCTTCAACTGATAGAACAAAAAGAAAGCCGTTTTAAGTTCAGAGTTGTCACCAATGTACAACATTTTTTTTCTAAAAGAAATGCATGTATGACTACGGAAGTCTGGAACTGACCTCTGAGTTGCGATAGCCGCACATGTCGCATGTTGTTGCCATAACAATAACCTCACGAAAATATGGGATTTCTAACCAAAGGTCAAAGACCAGACACTAGCAAATATTAATAATTAGCAGTACAATATCACTAGAGAGTTCTGTACGATTCAAGGATCCAATCAAAACATGTTACAACTACACTGCGTGACAGCAATTACTGTGGAACCTAGCTCCACTAATCATATGCTACAAACCAGCCAGTAAAAGACATGCATGCTTTGGCCATCAATCCATCATCCAGCACGGTCACACACAAAAAAAATTCCATCAATCCCCATGTTTAGATCATAAAACCATTACGTAAGCCTAAATTGGCTGTATCTCAGGACACTATAAACCATATTTCCAAGCAATTTGACCGTTACTGCCAATTTTCCAGCATATTATTTATGCTTTGCACTATGATATACTCCCTAACACATAAAGCATGCAAGTAACCAGCAAGAACATTCTAAATTAAAGTCCCAAATATTTCTTAGCCCCTCATTTTTTAAGAGGAACATTCTAAATTAAAGTCCCAAATATTTCTTAGCCCCTCATTTTTCAAAGAGGCCAAGATTGATCACAGAATCAAACAAGCATATAGAAACACTACAGATGACCTATTTGACTATTGCTGATATTATCAACATGTTTTACTTAAAAACGAACATACTCTATTTCTCTATTCTTAGTTTAAGAGTCCATATGGAAGAAATAGTGAACAAAAGGTGAAAAGGATACTTGTAGCAAAGAAACGAGTGACACACTCAGTTCCACAGGCCCCACATGTTGATGGCAAAGTATCAACCTGACCAAGTAAATTTTTGTAAGCATGAATGAACATTAGTCTTGAATAAGGTAATTGCCGTACAACTGAATAAAGCATACCTCTTCTGGTGCTGAATATCTGCACAGCGCTGCAGCAACTTCATCAGGGTTTCCTTGAGCTATAGCACGGCGACCTGCAACAGCTCCAACCGAACCGTGGGGCTCCTGCAACACCTCAGAGTTCCCTTCCACAGTTGAAGCATGATTAACAGGCTGATCCCCAGGTTCTTCTGTG